ATTTTTTTTTGTTTTCAATTTCCTTGTTATGACAGGATAATTTTTTGTTCCTCTGACATTCTATAAGTCATAAGAAGAATCAGTTAATGAGGACACTCAATAAGATCTATTAGGAAGAGTATTACGATACTGTATTACCTTTTAAATATCTGATTCTACAAATGATAACATTATTAGTTTCAAGATTCCAGCAATTGGGATGAGCAATAGAATTATATCTAAAAATTCTTGAAGAGTACTATAATGCAATAAAGAAAAATTATCTTGAATCCTAATATCGCCCAAATGACTTTTTAGCATGAAGCATTTCTTCCTATTTATTTAAAGCTAAATTATATAAAGTTTAAAATTCTTCGAAGAATAATAACAGTATGTTCAGTTAGACCTTTGCGAAGATTTTTTTTTTAGTTTATTGATAAAATTACTAATCACGTGTGGTGATACACCAATGACATCATTACATCATTAGTGATAGTGGTGGTGATGCTCCTCTTTACTTTACTGCTAATGATGATGATGATAATAATAAAGGTAGTGGTGATATTGATGGTCTTTATTTTGCTGCTAATGATGATGATGATAGTGATGATGATGGTAGTGTTTCTCTTTACTTTGCTGCTGATAATAATAATTGTAATGGTAGTGTTTACTTTGCTGCTGCTGCTGATGATGATGATAATAATAATAATGGTGGTGGTAATGGTGATGCTGCTGATGAAACTCTATTCAGCTTGCCAATTATTCTGTAAGTATGGATTAAAATATTAATTCAAGCGTATCGAAATCATATCGAAATCACGCTTACGAATTTTGCGTTTGTTATTAAAAAAAAACATTATTTTATTATTATTTAATTTATGTAAAAAGTATTCTCGATTATGAACGAAATAATGTTCTGCTCTCAATATTACACACAGAGAACTTACAAATTTTTTAATAAAAGTTGCCTCCTGAAATCAGAGGCGACTTTTATTAGTTTTAAATATATAATTTTTGCTTTTATTCTTTGTAATACGAGAATTATCCACTTTTTATTAAATTGGTTTAAAAGTCTTATCGACATCTAAAGAAATTTTATTATTGTAACAAATTTATATTTTCTTTTATTAATTTTAAGATACATTAAGTGATCAAGAAACTAACTTCCTATAAATGCACGCATTGTGAATTCCTTCCAAAATTAAATTCCAAGCTAATTCATTCATCGTCTAACTGTCCTAGAAACAACCTTTTACTAATAATAAACTATATATTTACATAAATTTATCTCCACCATTCTAAGTTAATGTTATACCATGTAAATGTTTAAAATTTTGATCTCTCCAATTCTTCTTTAAAATGTAAAATAAACCTTATCTATTCAACACTACTATTTTGGATAATGGTAAAAGTACAATTCCACTTTCACCGTCGAGAGGATTTTGTAAATAGTCGTATCATAATTATAACGAGGATGAGGAATCTTCAGATCGTTTGTGAAGTACTTTAGATTGGGTGTCGACACCTTTCAGATCGTTTATGAAGTACTTTTGTTTGTGTGTCGACGTCTTCAAGCACCTACGGGTGAGTTTTCAACTCCATTTCCAAAAATTATTAAATTTTCGAGACGATTCTAATTGCGAATTAGTGATATCAAAGTTTGTTGAATGGCCAGTATCACCAGGTAAATATACGCGTTTGTCCATTTATTTATGGCCGAAAAAAAAAAGAAAATTTGGAGAAGGTAGCTTTCTGTCTGTTTAGAGCGTGAAAAAAGAGAAATGTACTACAATTTTAGACGAGCATTCATATTAATGATATAATAATTTCAAGCAATAAATTTAAAACCCACCAAATCATTTCTCCAAATTTTCTTCTCTTGTTAAGAAGAGAACGAGTTGAACCAATTGGTTTTTGATATCCAGCTCCTCATTCTCTTGGAACCCTCAGTCCGATTTGGTTTAACTTGCTTCGGACTGTTTACTTTTCGATTATTCTTGAGCTTTTTCTTGTCTTTCTCGTTTTCCTTACGCGTATTTACGAGGCTGGTTTCTTTTCCAGAAAGCTTGGACGTTAATTTTATAGTTGTCAGCAAATGACAAGGAATATGTATGTATTTTTTAATAACGTTAGGAAGGTACATTTTTTAAAAAATAATTTTGAGAGAATATTTTTGTGAATTTTTTGTTAATAAATTTTTTTGTGAAATTTTTTTTTTTTTTTTTTTTTTGGTGCTTACGAGACCTTCTTATAAATAGTACTTTAAATTTCGGCGAAATCCGGAATTTTTAAAGAATCCCCGATAAAAAATTTCATGTTCCGGAAAAATTTTGAGGCCAACGGATATTTTTTATTATAAAATTAGTTAAAAAAAATTCTATTCATTATAGAAAACTGATACAAGTAAATTTAAAAAAGAAAAATAATTTGTTTTTATTCTTGGATTGGTTTGTAAATACTCTTGTTTTCATATTTTTCGGGACAAAATAAAATTTGAACCCGACATCCGATCCGATATGCGGATATCGGGTTATCACGTATTTACTACTAATAGCAATCGCGTATTCGCGTATTACAATCTTTGAAATCTGTAAACAAAATGTTTTGTATTCACATGATCTGATATCCGCATATCAAAATTTGTTTTGTCCTGTGACGTGACGCGATATCGTTTCGAAACGAACCAATGTTATATAATAAGGAAATTCAACATATGCGCAATTTACAAAATGAGTAATGGATCTATCTATTTAACAAAACAAAAAAAAACAAAAAAACAAAAACAATAATTATAAACGTCTCTTTTCTTTCTCACTGAAATTTTATTCAAAAGTACTTCTGAAAATTTTTCAAAATGATAGTATGTATTCTATTGATGTTAATTTTCAGAGGTGTGCCTATCGATTAAACTGCGTTCGTTTCCATCGAGCACTTTTTATTTTTATTTTTAACTCTTCGAATTAACATTTTATATATATACTTCAGGACATTACAGATATGAGTTGCTCATATATTCTTATTAAAAGGAGAAGGGAAGAGCTTTCATGGGCGAGAGATGTAGATCGCCATGGAATTAGTATCGTAGGAAATTACAAAGGCATGCGATTTATCGTCAAATGCATCGATACGAGCGAGAAAGTAAGCATCGATATCGTTGAAGAACTGAATGAGGTCATGCCTGATGATCCCAATTTGCTGAGGATCATCGTTACAAGTGGAGGAGGTTTTACAAAAGAATCATTGGAGTTCGAAAAGAAAAATATTTTTTGTCTCCTTACCGACAATAATCACTTGGTTTCAGATCTTATGGATCGTTATATGATGATTGAAGATGAAAGAATCGAAAGAATGATTGAAATCGAAAGTATGATTGAAAATGAAAGAATGTTTGAAACCGAAAGAATGTTTGAAAACGAAAGAATGATTGAAAATGAGAGATTCTTAATTTTAATTTTGATGGGGGGCAAGTTAACTAATATAAGAATAATATTTGTTATGCTATTTTCACCCTTTGCAATTTATTATCTTTTATCTCTTTTATCTCCATTCCTTCGCAGTATGTTTGTATAATATGTACGCATTTTATACTTCGCTTTATATTGTAACTACATTATCAGATTGTAATAAACTAGACTAGAAAATTAAAATTTCTATATAATGTAATCCATGAAAAATATTGCTAATAGGGAAAAATGTGTAACAATGTATAAAATCTATTTTTAGAATTTTATTATAAAATAAAAAATATTAGCCATATTTATTAAGCCAAAAAAAAAATATATCAAACTATTTATTATCCGAAACTTTATTCTCATCAAGTTTTTGACCTAAATAATTTCGCATCCCCACAATTTTATATCGAAAATTAAGAACTAAAATTTTATTGAAATGAAAAATTTTGTTGCTTGATCGGTTTCATCAAAAAAATTGAACGTGAACGGATTTTTTACGTTCTTCGAAAAAAAAAAAAACTACCTCGTAAGCAACAAACGCCTAACACAAAATCGAAACCAACTGTTGAAGAAGTTGTAGTCTCAAGCAGAGCCAAAAATAAAAAAGAAAAAACAGTGAAGAAATATGTCAAAAGAAATCTCCAATTGAACACGCCTTGCTGAGACCCGACTCTAATGCTGATTCCCCTTGAAGCTTTAAAAGAATAGAGATGGATTTGTGATTCTGAAATGCAAAGGCTTGTTTACAGGTTATTTTTTTGAAGTTTATAATGGCTTCAACACGCCTTACATAATATCTAAAGTACAGCATGTATTCTCATATCTTTGTTCGCAGAGAAATTACCTACGTACCTGGACTATATAAAATAGTAGATGAAATCTTAGAAACGCTGCTGACAACAAGGTACATTTATTATAAACGTCTATTAGTTACCTTTATCTTGTTGATTATTTAAATTTTTTTTCGTTAATGTCAGGTTCGAGACGATAAAATGAACCTTCGTAAAGTTGATATTGACGAAGAAGGAGGTCAAATTTCCATCTCTAATAAATCCCTATTGAAATGCACAAAGACGAAGGAGTCTATGTACCTCATCTATATTTTCGCAGCTATTTACATCTTCAAATTATGATGATAAGGAAAAGAAAGTTTCCAGTGGTCGTAATGGTTTCGGTGCTAAATTAGCAAACATATACAGTACTGAGATCATTTTAGAAATAGTTTCAAAAGGCAAAAAATATCGCCATACTTTCAGGAACTATATGACCGTTTCGAACAACCAATTCTCACTACTTGTTCCAAAAATGCTGGTGATTACACATGGGTCATCTTTAGGCCCGATCTTCAAAAATTTAAAGATGACTCGGTTTGATGATGACATAATTTCCCTCTTAAAAAGCGTGTATACGGTGTGAAAGAAGTTCGTCAATAATTTTAAAGAATATACACAATTGTATGTGAGTGATCGCGAAGACTTACAATCTTCCATTAGTGTATGATAAATGTGGTGACCGATGGGAAATTAGGGGCCCTTCCTTCCACTGAGTCTCAATTCCATCATGTAAGTTTATGGTTCTTTTTTTCTCTTGATCTTGCATTAAATGTTTATGCGAAAATTCGTATAATTCTAACATTATTTCGTTATTCTTCATCAAAATAATAGGTAAGCTTCGTTAATAAAATATGTACTACGAAAGGAGGTATCCACGTTAATTACATTGCAGATAAACTTGCTGAAAGAATCATGACAGCGGTCAAAAATAAGAATAAGAACGCAAAAATAAAAAAGAATCACGACAAAAATCATATGTGGATATTCATAAACTGTTCTATTGAAAACCCATCCTTCGATTCTCGGACGAAAGAAAATCTTACATTAAAAACCGCATCATTTGGATCTACATGTGATCCATGTGACGCCTTCTTTAATAAACGTAAGTAATTGTACTATTCATAGCATATCATATAACTTTGTTTTATACTTTAAAATATATATACACATGACCCTTTGATTTTTCTCTATAATAGTTCTCAAATGTGGTATCATCGACCACATTCTGGACGAAGTTAATTATAAATTAAATAATGAATTAAAGAAGACAGACGGAAAAAGGGCAAGAAGTAAGTAAATTGATTGTTGGGAGATTGATAAAAATAAAATTTTGTTAATTAGATTTCGATATATTTTTCAATAGAACCACTGGTATTTTTAAAATTGAAAGACGCAACGAACGCTGGCGGTAGAACTGATGATCGCAAGGAATGGTTAAGTAATTATGAAGTGTGTATAGATTTTTTTTTTCTGTTTCCTTGATTCCAATCAGAATGTAACCTCTTTAACGAAAATTCCACATTCCAAAAAATTTATATTTTTCTAGCCCGGTACCTACATGAATCATGATGAGGAAGAAATCACGATAAAGAATTTTATAAATAAAGAGTTGATCTTGTTCAGTCAAGCCGATAATGAACGTTCGATTCCAAATGTTCTTTACCGATTAAAACCTGGCCAGAGAAAGTTTTGTACACATGCTTTAAGAAAAAGTACAAGAACGAAATTATAGTTTCTTCGTTAGCCGAGGCTGTTTTAGAACAAGCGGCATATCACCATGATAATGCAAGTCTTCAAGGTCCAATCATCGCAATGGCTCACGATTTTTTCCGTTCAAATAACATCAATATCCTTCATGACGAAGGCCAATTTGGTACAAGGTTCAAGGAGGAAAAGATGCAGCTAGTGTTCGTTATATCAGCGTTGCCATGCCAGCATTGACTCGAAAAATATTTCATCCTCATGACTCATTACTAACCTATTGTAATGATGACGGTAACCTGAATGATATTTCCAATTCTGCCAATGATCCTTGTTAATGGCCGAAACCGTGAGTTTATTTAACAACCGGCATATTAAGTATTTCGCAAGACATATAATAATAATCTTGATTTATCTTATAATTATTAGGTTGGAGTTCATTTATTCCAAATTACATTCCTCGCGATATCGTTAACAATTTAAACGATTAATTAACAATGAAAAACCAATTCCAATGCATCTTGGTATCGTGGATTTCAGGTAACATTATTAATAATCATTTTACAGAATCCTCTAACGGACTTTTGAATTCTCCAAGTATTAATTTTATTCCACATAATTTATAGGGTGACGTTGAGAAGCAATGACAGATACAAGATCAATGGCAAGATCCAAGTTAACAATGCGTATATGGACTCAAAACTATAAAGAAACGTATGAGTTGTGGATATCCGGAATAGATAAAGTGCCAAGCTGGATCTTCGTAAGAAAACATTTATGTAGCTAATCTGCCTTAAAATCTTTTAATATTCTATTAAATTATTTTTAAAATACTAGGAGTACAAAGAAGACCATACAACCATCACCGTAAAACTATCGCAAAGAGATTCTTTAAAAGAAGGACTTGAGTTGAGCACAACCATCGGAACGTCGAACATGGTGTGTTTCGATGGCAAGGGTCGTATTCGAAATATAATTCTCCCGAAGAAATTCTTCAGAAATTTTACACATACAGGCTCGAATATTATGAGAAGAGGAAGGTTTATATTTATATTATATCATCATCATCATCTTAGTATTAATTTAATTTGTGGAGTATGATTCCAAATTTATAATTCTCAATAAACTTTTTAGGCTCACATGATAAATATACTTGAAGCCGAAGTTACCATGAACAAGCATAAAGCCAGATTTGATTAAAATGAGGGCTGATGATAGTCTTAAATTTGAAGGCCTTTCGCGTATTGAGGCTATTGAATTATTAGAGTCCAATGGCTTTGAAAGGTTTACGTATGATAAAGATAACGATAAGGATGATAAGGACGATAAGGATGCAACTGATATGTTTCTCATAATAATCATGGATATGGTTATTTGATGGGTTTTTCAGTGTGGAAATTTTGTAAAGAAAACGTGAATTAAGAATGTCTTGATTATAGTATATTCTTTTCGTTTTAGGAGCAAAAAAATCTTGAAGATAAAAGCAAGAACTTAGAGATCTAAGGAAGAAATACCCCAACAGATGTGGATTTAGATTGTTTTATTGAATCTTGGGATGTAAGTTGTGAATTTATATATATATACACATACATATTTATTTATTTTACTTAAAACAGTAAATAATCATAATAATAATAGTAAAATAATAATTTTTTATTACTATTAAATATAATACAGAATATTACGCCGAAATCATTATACCCACTAAATCAAAGGAACAAACATTATCAATTGATGAATCGGTTGACGACATAGTGGACCATTACTCATTGGATCGGAAACGATCATTATCCATTGAATCGATTGATGATGTGTGAGAAAGAAAAAGATCATTGTCAATTGATGAATCGTTTGATAATAAAGACCTTCATGACCTTTACGAAGATATTGAAGAAGTAAGTAAAGGTGCCTCATTATTTCAAAAAGATAATGAGAACATTGATAAAAGGTCAAGGTGAAAAGAATGTTATATGTGATTATTTCACGCCTGTTATTGTTGACATCTCTCCCGTCGATCAACCGCAAAGCAAATAAATTATGTTGAATTATCTGATGATGAAAATACTTAAATATTTTTTTTTTTTTTTTTTTTTTTTTTTCGGTTGATTCTAGTGAGCGGTCGCCCGAGTATCCCGACTGAGGCTTAAATATTTTATAGAGTAATATAATCTTTTAAATATTAGTATTAAATGTACGACCTTAAGATTTTTACATGGGAACTCATTAATAAATAAAACGAGAAAATTTCGTGTTCGATTTAAAAAATTATTTAAAAGCAAACTTTCAATGTCGCTCTGTTATAGAATAATCAGATTAATCGTGGTAATTTTTTTTAAAAATTGCATGAACATAATAGGTTCACCATCCAAAAAAAACTTTTCGATTCGTATCATTGTTAGGGCCGTGACATTTATTACGTAATATTTTAGGGGGTGGGGGCAGTGATGTACATTTTTGATGTCCCAGAGATTTGTTGTCCCAGCTATATGTCCCAACCTGTCCCAAATGTCCTATCTGTCCCATCAATGTCCCATCCCCTTCATTTTCAGCCATCCATAATCTAGCATATCGCTATCACCGTTAA